CATGTGGTGCACCCTGGGCAACGTATTCTCATACGACTTCTGACTTCTAACTACCATGACCCCACTCTATGTCATATCCGCCCACTTCCACAGTACTCACCTCACCTTTTTTCTACCTTTTCTACCTTCGTCTTTGAAACACTCTTCTGTACCCTCCCCCTCTCGACTTTTTTTCAATTTGATGTTCTTTCCCTTCTGTGAAACCCGAAGTCAACTAAAGGGCAAATGATAACTATCAAAACGCCTGCCATTTGAAATAAATAAATTTTACCTGGTGATATGCCCTTCAGAGACATATGACAAGTGATTAACACGTTTTTCATTTTGGGGTATAAGAAAGTCGATGTAGCAAAATTCGGGTTAGTTTAATTTAATAAAATCGAAACTGAACTTATAGGCATCAACAAACTTTCATGAATGAGAGGACCAAAGTGAGAGTGAGAGAGCTGAACCATGAGTTTAGTGGAGAAGAGTAAGGAAAGTGAGGGAGGAAGAAATAGGAGGAAAGGAACAAGCAACGTCGCTCGGCTAAAGGGACCAGATTTGTGACAGTGACCAAGCAAAGGTATCCTGAGAGAGCCGATTCTTCTTTGTGCGTCATATCACCAACTAAGATTAAGAGAGATCTCCAGAGCTCAAGGGAATCCAGAAGTGCATCTACTGGTTAGCCTAGATCAGTGATTTCTTTAAAAGGTAAATAGCAACTTCAAACTGCTTGTAAATTAACGCACCTTATCTGCAGAGACGCAAGAGGCTTTGTCGCCTGATCTTTGAAGCGAGAGCGACTCAAGGTAAAACGCCTTTTCGTTGTTAACAAACGAGAAAGAAAAGAAATAATTATAAAAATACAAAAAAGTATTCATTTCTCTTTTTACTAAACAGCCTTTTATTTGGAACAAAATTGAATGCCACACATTACTCCATCCAAGTAGCATGTGATCCGAATGTTTCCTGATTGATTTATTTGGAAAAATTAAGTTCCGATGAGTTAGAATTGGCCATTCATCCTACCTAACTCCATTTCCAATTAACGGAAGTTTAATGCAGTTTTAAATGACTCATTATTTTTCGCCATTTTTCTTTCGCCCTCTGGGAATGACACGAGAAAGCATTAATGAACAGACATGGTGCAGACAATTGAACCAAACATTGCAAATTTCCAATTTATATTCATTAATTGAGCCAAAATAGCGGTCTAAAGTGTATTGATGAAAAATGAAATCAGTTCTTGTTCCTCGCCTACCTTTGATGTAATCTCAAATGGAAATCAGAACTTGTGAATGAAATCCCTCGACATTCGACTCCATCTATCTTGATCTGATAACAACATGCTCCCCGTATAGAGTGTATATAAACATATAAATATTTTCATGCAAGAGAACCCAAAAAAGCTCAGAATCAAACTTATCATCTCAAACGTATCTAAGCTGTGCGTTTTGGGTGGCGAAATACAAGACAGAAAGGCTTTGCAATTTAGAAAAATTACTTTCAATCACTAGAGCTTCAAATGCAATCAAAATCCGGCATTTACACTTTTAAATAGAAAGCTCGCTTGGTTTAAATAACATGCTGGCTTCATGCATTTCTTCCCATGAAGTCTACTATGTAATATAACTGTTGTAAATAAATTTTACAGTCATATTTACCTAAACACTAAAATAACTGCTTCTTTTCTATATTGAAGTTGAAAATGTATTTGTTTTTTATTATAGAAAAGTATTTAGAAACGTGATTCAGTAAAAATGGTTTGCAGAATATTAAAAGGTTGAAGAATTTTGCAAAAGTTTTTTTTCCAAATGGCAGGCTTTATGATATTTACCATTAGCCCTTAAGCTTTGACTTCAGCTTTCCCCTTGGGTGAGGGTACATATAAAGCAGTTAATTAATAGCAGTTCATAAGCTGTCTTCTTGCTTCCCAGTATCTCTTTAAGGCTGAACACTGAATCAGATGGGTCTTCTTCATTTCCTCCTGTAGGTTACATAGGGGGCATGTGAGTTGACCGTTTCCTCCTGTAGGTTACATAGAGGGCATGTGGGTTTAGTTTAGGTTACATAGAGGGCATGTGGGTTGAGTGTATACTCCCAGGCTACATAGGGGGCATGTGGGTTGAGTGTATACTCCCAATCCAGAGGGCATGTGGGTTGAGTGTATACTCCCAGTCTGTGAAAGGGCATATGGGTTGAGTGTATACTCCCAATCTGTGAAGGGGGCATGTGGGTTGAGTGTATACTCCCAATCTGTGAAGGTCCATGTGGGTTGAGTGTATACTCCCAATCTGTGAAGGTGTACATGTGAGTTGAGTGTATACTCCCAATCTGTGAAGGTGTTTATAGGCAATCGTGTTCGGTACGTAGTCTAAACTCATCAACGGAGTAATTAGTCTAAACTCAGCAACGGCTTCGATTGCAAAATTAGGAGCTCAAGTTTGGACATCAGGAATCACACAAAATCTTCATACTGAATACTTGCGTTTGTATGTATTGCAAAAATAGATACCGCCTCATGAGTAATGAATGAGTTTATGGCGACGATAATCCACGCTTTGTGGTCACTAAATCTCAACAAAAAGGTAAAAGTGGAGAAGTGTGCCTCGATAATAATAATAATATTAAAAATAATATGAAAAAGATGTCTTATTTTAATTTTTGCAAAATAAGAAAGCCAGGATACTCGGTCATCCCTATTTTTTTGAAGAATTGGTATCCGGGGTGAGACAAAAATGTCAGTGTTATTCCAAAAGTGGGAAGGACATAAATGCCCTTTTGCTAAATAAAAGTACATAGTTTCATCAAAGACAAGTTAAATTTATAGATAATCTAATTTTTCATTAAGTCTTCATTTTGCGTTAGGTCGTTGCATAGAGGAATTCTGGGTAAACTTCTGATGTTTGCGTAGACCCGTGAAATGTGTTGGGGGGGGGGGGGGGGGGGAGTGGATCGCGACAAGTCAGGGGCTTATTAGGTGTCAATATCGTCTCCTCTTTAGCCACGAATAATAGCCATAATGTAATACACTAGTCAACTTGCGGTCGATAATTGTTGCTTTCAGCATTTTAATAAGAATAGCTTTTGAAACCTTCTTTTAGCCTCAAGAGTGGCATTCCAGAGCCTCACTAACGAGAAACTCCTATTTTGTTAACCCTCTCTTGACTACTGACAATAAGTGTAGTAGCCCACGCTCTTGACCAGACGTCCACTGATGCGATTCTAGATTCTCTGACTTACTGGATGTGCCAGATTTTCTGATAGCCTAAAATTGGTCTCCTTACCGAAGAATAACAAACTGTTCACAAATAAGCAGTAGTATAAAATGCTGCTTAGGATTCGAAATCTCAAAGACGTTCCTCATTTCCAGCTCCAATTCACTGTGTGTCGGAATTCTCCATAGAATCTTTCATACATATAATTTTTGGCAAATACGCTTAACATAGGAGCGCATCCTCTTTGATGCGGCATTTATAAACTTAATCCATAAAACGAATACATTTCTCTGGTCACTGCAAATAATAAGTAATCATTTGCAGCTTCATATACCTCCTACCGCCTGTGGCAGTGTCATGATCAGCCACAAAATGAAATCTCCTATCAAAAGTCTTTGAATTTCGACGATTAAATCACACCCCCAAGTACCTAGGGGTCAGATTAATACACATCAGCATTTGAGCGGTGTAAAGGTGAACGTACTTTTTATTGGAATATGAACCATTTGGAAATTCAAGAATTTAAAGAACATAGAACTCCGTGTGGCCATATTTTACGGACTACTATCATTCCTTTTTACACTTGACTTTACTTTTTACTGTTTCTCTTACTCAGGTGCTTCGGCATAGTTGTTTGTATTGGAAATGAAATAATTATGTTTCCGAGGCTTCAAAAGACAAGGCTGTAACTAGGTAACTAACTACGCCATAGGAATAAATCTAAATAAAAACTACGAATGAAATGTCTCATTGTCAAAAGATACTCCCCCAGTGACATCTCACGCAATAATGGCCAAGATCACCCTGATCCTTATATATCTGCGTTTCTGAGTTCAGTTTTTCCTTTCTTGTCTTGAACATTGGATGGAGCGTATCCTAGGCGGCGATGTTATCATCCTGAAAACGCAGAGAGATGGCTGATACGGAAACAGGTTTTGCGTATTTATCGAATTAACCGAGTTCCCTAACTGCGATCATTCGTCAGATTTCTACTACATCCTAAATCTTAAGCCCTCGTTCTCTAAATTTAAATTAATTTATTATTTGCAGGCTATGTTTCTTCTCTTCAAAAAAATGGTTTTATGGTAGTCGTAAGGCTGTATAATCTTTGCAAACATTGCCTTCAATTAGCCTCATAATTAGTCATTTGACGTCGATATGGGGAGAAACCTCCAATGAATTTTTAAATTGCTTTAACATGTATAAAGTAAATTAAAATTTATGGATAAATATTGTGATTTCTTCAAAATTACCATTCCAAATTGAGGTCATTCCAATTGTTTGAAGCGTTAGCAAAATTACAGGGAGGTTAAGTCGCGTTGCAAGTATATGAATAAGTATCGAATTTGGTTTAAAGCTAAGCTTATTTACTTCATGAATATTTATCTTCTAATTTATAAACATAAATAAAAGCAGTGAAGAAAAATCGCGGGTACGTTATTTGTTCAATTTTAAGAACTAGGTTTTCTCATTAGTGAAACGTTATTTATAAAATCTTGAGTTATTTTATTATTTCTTTTTCAACTTATGTCAAACTCTCCTCATGCCATCTTATTAATCATCATTTAAAAGCATCGCACCAACCCCGTTGCCCCTCAACTCTGATTGGTCAATAGACTGAGTCAGTGGTTGCAGCACGTTAATTTATTGGTTAAAGTCATCGCGTTTTCTTATTGGGCAATGGGAGCTTAAGTGTACGTATATTTATAAACAAACATAATTCCGCGAAAATTGATACATCTAACGGGTGCTAAAAGGAATTCATTTGCAATTAAAGGGATTAGTTTCTAACACTCACTCATGCCTTGCATCACTAAGTGTGAGCCAGTGGATTCCGAGTCTTCAGGCAATGATAGCAAAAGCAATGACAAATCGAACAGTAAGTATTCAATGTTTTTTTATTTCATGAATTCAAACAATTTTGTGGCACATTGCAGTTTATTCAGTTAATTTGTATTGTGCAGTAATTCGCCAGTGAATGAAGTAATGCCATCCTTAATATGCTCAGTGACCCGTTGGTCTCGTACCAGTCTGCCATGTCAAGGGTCGGGGTTTCGATTCTCAATTAATGGAATGACCAACATTACCGGTTAATTGTGATTAATTACAAGGGTGGTGGAATGCACCGGGGAAGTTTTTTGATGTCACTATTGGCCCAGAATGGGCCTTGGAAAAATACTTTCCTAACTTAATTTAATCCTCTTTTATACATTCTTTGGCATCTTGAAATGGTCTAAGTTGAATGTTTAGACGAAGCATTATATTTATTAAATAAATTTCTACTTGATTTGAGATAGTGTCGGTAGATATCGATTTTGTTAAACCTTGGACCACCCGCTGAAAGAGCTAATTGAGTTGCTTAATTAGCGAAATATGTTATGTGTTCGCACGCGATAACCTTGGGAGGCCCAATAAGAGAGTAAAAGGGGGGCCGAGAGAGAGGGAGAAACAAAGAGGAAAGAAGAGGAAGAATGTAAGTGGGTGGTGGCTGTTTGGATAGAAGCATAGATAGAGGACGGACGGCCGATTTAAAACAGATGCTATCTTCAATCCTCGTATTCTGTATGGGTGCGTAAGTATGTGTGTATTGAGAGAGGGGGAGAGAGAGAGAGAGAGAGAGGAGAGAGTGAGAGAGAGAGATAGATAGATAGATGTGCTGCAAATGCCTGCTGCGTTGGTAATCGACGACAGCCGTTGTGCTGCCCCTCTAGTGCGTACGCACTCCCTGTCGATTGGGAGAACGAGATAAGATAAGGATGAACCGTGTGGTGGGGGGCGTGGAGTAGAGATAGCTGGGTATATACACACAGACCCNCCCCCCCCCCCCCCCCCTACCTCGTGCACGCACGTCCCACAGCTGTGGATGGTAGATCTGATAAGGTTGCTTATCACTTCGTCGTTATCTTTGCGAGCTCGGCTTATCGCATCTTTGTCATCTCTAGTTGCATTCTGGGCGAAAAGAGGGCATTTCTAGTATGGTTGACTCCACTTTAGAAAGTAGCCATTGCTGTAAACAGCATAACTACCTCAGCATTATTAAACATTTAATAAGAATTACGTGTGCTTATGCTATGACCTAGTTGAAGTATCTAGACATTTTTCACTGTGTTGAAAGCAGTTTGATACACTCAATATACTTGTGTTTGGAGGACTTGCGTTAATACAGTTTTATACATTTCTTATTAATAGTCCTTTTTCCATTGTGTACTTTTAAATGACGCGATATTTTATTGTCATAGGTACTAAATTCGTAAATATACGTGGATGCATTTAACGAGATTCTATATTTGCCTATTTTCGACGCATTTCTAAACTCAGAAAAATATAAAATTACTTTAGGCCTGAGCTATTTACTTTCTGGTTCCTATTTTTCAGTATTATTCTTGAATCCGAAGGAAAGTGCCTCCTCCAAAAACATTTTGGCCCATTATGTACTGCTTTTTTTTCTGTCAGCATTGAGGTAGTGATTGAGTTCACCCAACAAATCTGACGGGTCATGGGGTTACATTGGGCGTTGAAATTAAAAACACCCTGGATGCAATGACAATTTGGATTAGAATTAAGCTAATAGTTTCATATTCGTGCTTATCTGATGGGTATTAAATTGATAAGAATCCCGATAACAAACGTATAGAAGGAGAGGTGGGGGGGGGGGGGGGNGCGGGGGGGGGGGGGGGGGGAGAGGGCAGTAATCTCAATCTGGGTAAAGGTTAAGGAGACAAGGAAAGATATGTCCTACTCCTGATAAGGAGAAACGCATACACCCAACTCTCCTATGTAACATTTTTTGCACGTATGTTGCGGTTGATCCTACTAGTTGATAAGCACCGCTTATAATAATATCTCTCACCAACCTCCCCCCCCCCTGCCCCACCAACTCACCCTCTATCTGCAAACACACATATATGTGAGCTCAAATCGTCTTGTAGCCTGAACCGTGTCGCCTTATCAGATCCTCCTAGGCTTTCTTTTTTCCTTGTATGCGCTAACCCTATCTGTCTTGTTCAATCGTATTTACTTGCCTCTTCGTGTAGATGTGGTTTCTGATTATATACAAGGCTTACTGTTAATATGCTACTCTGGGTCAAGTCAATTTCCAAAATCACACACAACCACTTTTTTGCTGCACAGATCGAGCATGAAGAGAGATGTTGTATTGAGGAGAGCGAGGTGGTTTTGTATCGAAGGGGCGATAGTATCTACAGAGCTCGCGCAGTTAACGGCAAAGAGATGTTATCTACGGCTACCCGACGCTCTCAAACGCACGGATTTCAGTTGAGGGAGTGAGGGAGGTATAGTTAGAGAGAGAACAACCAGCTAAACGTGCGCCTCACTCACTCCCTCATCCCATTGGTTCTAACCTCCTTGCACATCAAGATAAGGCGCTATCATGTCGCTCTTATCTCATGCGCACACACACGAATTAGTTTGCGCACATCTGCTACCGAGATATTGCGGCCTCTATCTCCCCATATTCATCGAATTTACTTGTATTAATACACTCACTATCCTTCATATTTACATGAATTCTACTGGTGACTCACAAGGCCGATAATAATAGGTCAATAGGACAGCTTGATGAATGATTAGTTCATTAGTTGCACACTCACTAGCATCAGCCAATTTGCGCACAGTGAAGATAGTTGTGCTCTAAATTTGGTTAAAAGAAGTGGGAAGCAGAGAGAAGACGATGCCTGCTCTTGCTTCTTCTTACCCTCAAGTCTCCAATCAAAGCATTTTCGTTTACGAATTTCTTTAATGGTGGCTTCTTATCTGATGAAGTTTAGGTTTTGTAAACAGCCATACCCTCCCCCTCCCCCTGTAGAATCTTCCTTGAAATCTAAGCCTATTTGTCAGTACATGGAGACTAACTATCTATAAGTCGATCTACCTTACATCCTACCAGCACCC